GCTTCCCAGAAGGACCCGTGAGTCCCCCCCCCCCCTGGCCCCGCCTCCCATCTGAAGTCCCACCCCTCACTTCACTTAGGGGCCGTCCCGCGCCCTTGACGTCATACCCCACCCCACCCCCACCCCTCCAGAGGTTGAACCCTGGGAGTGCTGAGCTACACTCCAGGGTTCCCACACACACACTTTTTTACTCAGCACCTTGTACCTGCCAGGCAAGCACTTATTCCACTGAGCTATCTCCCCAATTACACTTTTCTTTTTTTTTTTTTAAAGACACTGGATCTTGCTAAGTTACTAAATTGTCTGTCCTACACTTGAACTTGTGATCCTCCTGCCTCAGTCTCCAGAGTGCTGGGTTTACAAGTGTGTACCACAATTTTTTTTTTTTTTTTTTTTTTTTTTTAAAGAGATAGAAATCTTGTTCAGTTGCCCAGGCTGGACTTGAATTTGTAATCCTGTCTCAACCACCCAAGTAGCTGGGCTATTAGGTGTGTGCCACCACACCCATCTACCCAGCTGAATTTTAAAATTCACATGAAAGCAGGGCATTTCTTTTACAGAGTAGCAGGTAGTAGTTCCTTTCATTCATGAGTGGAATGTGGATGGGCAACAGTTTTTTGCTTGCGTTTTCTTTTCTTTCTTTTTGGCAGAGCTGGTGGTCAAACCCAGGGCCTCGAAGTTGGTGGGCAAGCTCTCTATACTGAGCTACACCCTCAACCCTGAAGGAGAGCAATGATTTTAATATCAGTAGGAAGTTTCTCTTTACTCTTTCTGTGTATTGTGGTCTTCGAAGCACATTTACATCATGGTACAACCTTAACCACTCTAGGCAGTTGTGCAAAATTCTGAGAGTAAGCAGCATTTTCTGGATTTCTGGCAATGTGACCGTCGTGGAGCATTGCCTCTGTCAGACGGATTTCATCTCAGACTGAAACTGTTTGTACAGTGCTTTAAAGAGCCAGTACTTCCTATAGCTTTGAGCCCCGAATACCCAGCTGTGTCTCTTCAGATGGCTTTTTCTGTAGACCTGCCAAAGGGTTTGCTGGCCTGGGAGAGAAGTTATTTAGTATTCATGAAGGGGCCAGATGTTCAGGACGTTTCATATCACATACAGTTAGACACCATCCCTCTCACTGATAAGCTCACTCTGAGACGAGTTATGAGCACCAGGATGCAGAAACCACAAATAGCCTGTTCACTTTGTCATTTTATGACCCAGGAGACCCAGAGTTTTATTTGAAGCCTCTCAGCTGCTCTGTAGCCCCCAGCTGAGCCAAGGGCTGGAGCAGAAGGCTGGTGGCAATTTCCTTTAACCCGACCTGACCATTCTCCTCCAGGGGGCAGCTCCACCAGCAGTGCTGTGAAAAGTGGACCCTGGTGAATGATGAGACCCAAGCCAAGATGGCCCGGATGGCTGCTGCAGCTGCATGGGGCTTGGGTGAGGCTTCCCTGGGGGCTCCAGGACGGGACAGGGAGGGGTGGTGTGAGTCTACAGATGTGTGAAGGCTACTTGAAGCACCAGCTTCCATACCCTCCCCTGTCCTTTCTGCCTGATATTCTGCCTAACTTGTTGGACCTGCATGAAAATGGGGAGGCAGGGAAAATGGTGAGCAAGCATCAAGCCCGAGCTGTGGTAGGTGAGAAATCCACATCCCTGCGCACTCACAGGGACACTGTGGACATCCGAGGCAGTTGTGCAGCCTTTGGGAACTCGGCAACACTGCCCTTGTGTTCACTGCAGGGCCACTGCTAGATAAGCAGGAGTTGGGGTGCACTGCCACGCAGTCCCTGGGATGAGGTGCATTCACCAGCCCTCTAGGGCTCACTGGACAGAAACCCTCCTATACAAATTGTCAATTCTGTTTTTTGTTTTTTTTTTTTTCAAATTTTATTTATTTGTGTGTGTGTGTGTGTGTGTGTGTGTGTGTGTGTGTGTGTGGCCAGCTCAGCCCACCAGGGGGCGGGCTGGCTGGCATGTGGTGCTGGGGGATTGAACTGTGGTCCCTGGGTTTTTGCTAAAGCTTGTTCTAAGTAGGTGCTTTAGACCACTGAGCCATCTCACCAGCCCCAATTCTGTTTTTATTGTCAATAAAATACTGGTTTCTTTTCCTCCCTTTCAAATGGAATCTAGAGGTGGGTCTTCCCAGACTGGTATTTTCACTCCACTGTCAGCAGGCTTTTTCCATACTCTTGCACTGCATGCTTAGTCCAGTGGGTTTATTGGAATCCAATCCACCATGTCTTTATCCACACAGGAGAGGGCCAGGGAGATGGCTCAATAGAATAAGCGCTTCCCTGGCAAGCGCAAGGGCCTGAGTTCAATCCAGACTTGAGTTCAATCCCTGGTTCTGCCAAAAAAAAAAATAGGAATACACAGGAGTAAAGGAAGAAGACAGTTCTCTCCCCTACCCTTTTCCTCTTCCCCTTTCCTTGCTTTTAGATACTGGAGTCTGAACCCAGGGCCTTCACACTGAGCTACATCCCCAACATATTTTATTTATTTTTTAAATTTTGAGACAAAGTCTTGCTAAATTGCTAAATTTCCTAAGCAATTCTCCTGCCTCCCAGAGTGCTGGAATTATAGACATGTGCCACCAATTCTGGCTTCTTTTCTTTCTTAGTGTTTATAGTGGAACTTTCCCAGTACTTGAAAAAATGAAGAGAGTAGTTTACCAAAGTCCTATCTGCAACAGTTACACTTTACCATTTTTCTGTTCTCCCTGCTGTCTCATCACCTCACTGTTCTCCCAAAGACTTCCTTCCAATCCCTGAGATGTGTGGGTTTCTGACAGTGGGCTCTAGAGGAGAGGGTTGGCAGTGCTTAGCTCAGTGAGAGTGTCAGAGACTTTTTTTTTTTTAAGACAGGATCTCACTATGTAGTTGAGGCTGGCCTTGGCCTTGAAGTTACTGTGTAGCCCAGTGTGACCTCGAGCTCACAAGAATTCTCTTGCCTCAGCCTCCTGAGTGCTGGGGTTACTCAGATGTATGCTGGATAAGAGCAAAAAGGTTATGTGGGATGTGCCAAGTGCAAGCTTCACCTACAGAGACTACAGGAAGATGGCCCAAGCTCCCACCTCCGGCTCGCCCTCTTGAGTCACAGGGTTTATATCCTTTCCTGTCATTAACTCCAGGCCAGATCCCAAACATCTCTCAAAACAAATTGCTTCCTGAGGAGTCATCGTTTGCTATTCACTTTTGCCCAGAGGCACTGAGAATAGATGAGCTGCTGGGCTGAAGTGAAAGGGAGGAAAAATGCCTTGTAAAATCAACAGCCTTGCAGTTTGCAGCTAATGAGGCCGATGCCTCTTCTGCAAATGGTCTTGGAGTCCTGGCGGTCGATAGGTGCTTACCCCACTAGGGGAAAGGAAGGCTTCGTCTCACGCACTGTGTTGTAACCTGGCCATACCTTTCTGTTGAGCCTCTTAAAATTTACCTCCTCCCTCTTGAGGTAAAGATACTGCCAGAGTGAATTGGGCAAACGGTCTGATCGTGTCCTGTGTCCGTGTAAGGGCCATTTTCAGCTGTTTAGAGGAAAGTGTCATGTCCCAGTATACCACGAAGCTGCGATGTGCTTCGCTAGTAGAGAAGAACATGATTTCCTGTCACCTGCCTGGTGTGCAGGCTCTGCACTCCCGCACTTTCTCATCTTCACAGTGCTCCTCTGGGCACCAGTGAGTCCCATGTTTAAATGGAGATGTGGCTTTGTTAATTATCACAGGATAGAGAGTTACCTGCAGGATCTGGGTACGTGAGGCCGGCAGTTCATTGGGCTTGTTTGTACTGCACCTGATTGAAAGTGGAAATGTCAAGGCTAGAGTTGCTGCCTCAGCCCAGCCAGGTGACCACCTCTCTTGTGTGTATATGCCTAGGTCAGTGGGACAGTATGGAAGAGTACACCTGTATGATACCTCGGGACACCCATGATGGGGCGTTTTATAGAGCCGTGCTGGCATTACATCAAGACCTCTTCTCCTTGGCACAGCAGGTAAAACCTACATAGACCCAGACCTTCCAGCAAGCGTGAAGTCCTATGTCCAGGCTACTGACCCTGTTACACAGGTTGTTGTTCTTCAGCTTTCGGTCTGCTGGGCTTGGGAACCTACTAGAACGGCCTTGGAGCACAGAACACACTTAAATGGCATCAGCACTGGGCACCTTTCTGTGCTGAGGAGGAAAACTGTATTTTAGAAGTTACCATTGTGATTGCCCTGGGAGGTAGCCTCTTGAGTCATCTTGCACCCTTTTGTTGCCTTGCCTGAGCACTCTCTAGTAGAGAAGCTGTGAGTTTTACCAGAGGGGGATTCCAGGAGCCAGCAGTCCCCAGCCAGACCCTGAGGGGTGGCTTGCATGGGTTGCTCCAGAGAAGCCATACTGTGCTGACTTGTAGAGTAGAATGATCATGCTGTCGCATCCACCCTATCAGGTGCCTGCTATTTTGAATAAGGTGCTTGGGTGATGCTCTGAGAGCCTCTGGGATGAGGATGTAGTAATTGCCCCTGAACATCCAAAGAGGGAAAAGCTCCACCCTGTGAGTTTTGATGGCACTGAGAAGGTGCAAACTGCAGTCCTGTGGCATCCACCAGCCTGATTAATATGACCCAGACCCGGGTTGGAGACCCAAGAGATCCCAGCCCAAACAGAGGATCTCAGAGTCACCTTCTTGAGGACCACCTGAGCTGTTCAGCATATGCATTCCCTTCTCAAAGATGCCCAGCAAGGAAAGTTAAGCGAAGGCAGATCCCACAGACTGTCCTCAAAATGCAAGAACTGCTCACATGCCTTCTCCCTTGTCACCCAAGATGAGTTGAAGCTGTTTGGTATGGTTTGGTGTTAGTTTTTGTCTTTTTGAGACACGGTCTCGCTATGCAGTTCAAGCTGACCTTAAGTTCACTTTGTAGCCAAGGCTGAGCTAGAACTCACAGCAGTCCTTAGCCTCCCAAGTCCTGGGATTACAGTCATGCACCACCACATCCAGATGAGTTTAAGCTTCTGAATGCTGTGTGTTTCTGTCTTTGGACTCAGATCTAGAAAGATATCTTCCCTTTTCTGGTGAATTTTTCTCTACATTACAGGGATTTAGTAGGATAAGTGAATTCTTCAGCTAGCTGGCTAGTTGGGAAGCCCTAGAAGGATCTTCAACTCTGAAATCCAGAGCCCTGTGCCAGGGGTCCTTTGTTTCTCTCCTAGTGCATCGACAAGGCCAGGGACCTGCTGGATGCTGAGTTAACTGCCATGGCAGGAGAGAGCTACAGTCGGGCGTATGGGGTAAGTGCCTAGTATTCTGCCTATTATCATTTGTGAGTTCAGAATAGACAGTGAGGTCTCACGGGCTGCTGGAAACATGCCTGTGTTCCTGGCTCAGCAGATAACCAGAAGGGAGGCTTTGAATCTATCCTGTCTTTTGGAGTGTTTGTAATTAGGTTGGAATGTAATTTGCTTCCACCAGGCCATGGTTTCTTGCCACATGCTGTCCGAGCTGGAGGAGGTTATCCAGTACAAACTTGTTCCCGAGCGACGAGAGATCATCCGCCAGATCTGGTGGGAGAGACTGCAGGTGAGCCTAGGAGACGGCCCGTTCACCCTGCCCTGCAGAGGGCCAGTGCGGGCATTGCGCCCACCTTGGGCTCCCACTGCACACACTTCCCATACCGCCCCTCGAGCCAGGCACCTGTGCTCCAGCTGTGAGAGAATCACCAAGTGTCCAGCCTCTGTAGCTCTTCTCTCAGAAGAACAAAATGTATACGGGACACTTGTAACCAGGCAGTTGGAAATTTCAACTTCACAATCAGTAATTCTCAACCTCAGCTATTACACAGTAGAATCCCCTGGAGAGCTTTTAAAAAATCTTGATGCCCAGGCCACAGCCAGTTAAATCACCATTTCTGCAGGGGAACCCACAGTCAGGGACTTTAGGCCCTCAGAAGACTCCAGGGTACCCGCAAAGCTGAAAACGCTGCTCTGAACACACTCCTCAGCACCCAACTTTTTAACAGGATTTTTAAACAGGGTTGGCTGATATTGTCATCCACCAGTTCCTGCAGGTGACAGTTCTTACATAAAGTCATCCAGCACCTCTATTTAGACATTTCTTACTGGATTTCCCTGGTAGAGAAACTTTACAAGACCCCATCCGAGTTTCCAGGTCACATTCTGATCACTGAACATGAGGAGCTGTCGGCTGCCAGTTCTGTTTGTAATTAGAATATTCTCGGAAATAATCAAAGTCCTCCCAGTCCTTGAGGAGGAGAACACATCCCTAAAGGAAGAAAGCCATCTAGGGGTGTAGCTCAGGGGGGAAATATTCTTCTAGCAAGTGTAAGACCCTGGGTTCAGTCCCCAATGCCCCAAGCAAAAAGACAAAGCCTTTGCTACTCCCCAAACCACTGGTCTTTCTGCCTGTCAGTCATCTCCCTCAATTCTGAGCTGTTTCCCCTTGGCCAGATCCACATCCAATTCCAGATCCTGTCTCTAGACTGGTAGAGGTGTGTGCTTCCAGGCTTTTCAGGAGGCTGTGACAAACCCTTTGACTCCAGGCTGCATTCCGGGCTCAAAATGCAGACACATTCCACTGGCCAGGAGAAAGCAGTCACTCATGGCTCTGCACTGAGCACATACAGTCCTCATACATGTTTTATGAGTAACTATAAAGCACCCAGGGAATGTTTTGATGGAAAATTGTCTACTGGGCATCAAAAAGATTCCACAAAGCAAGCATTTCCTACTAGACTGGTACACACCCTGGTTTTTGTTTTGTTTTGTTTTGTTTTGGTTTTTTGCCAGTAATTGGGTGAAGAGTTTCCAAATCAGAGGAGACTCAGTCTTTGGACATTCTGACAAGTGGCCTTATAAATAGAGACAGAAGGGGTGGACTGCATGAGTCCTGGGAGGGAGGAACTTAGCAAGCTTAAGACACTGTCATCACCTTAAGCCTTTGTGATTTTTTGTGTCTTGAGCCAGAAAGATGCTTTTTGGCTTACGGGGAGCCACATTATTTCAGCATCTGGGAAAAACTAGTTGTTGTTGAGAAGACCAAACAGTCACTCAATGTACTTTTTTCTGTTTTTGTAATTTTCTGAATCTTTATTGTCACACTTTATGGAATGGAAAGCTGTTAACCAAGGCTGAAAATAAAGCATTATGCTCCTGTGGAAAGTTGGCTCTTGCTGGTGGCTTGCTGTCAGCACACGCAGTGAGCCACCTGGGCTGGAAAGCTGCCATTCTGAGGCCAAGTGATTTCAGTGTAAATCCCCGCCCGTGACTGCCACAGGGCTGCTTGAGAGGTCAGCCTGAGCTGCGCTGAGGCTCCTTGCTTGCGGCTCCTGTGCCAGGCTCAGACTCGTTCTCACACCTGCAAGCGAGATCCCTCTTCTAAACTTTGATTTCCCAAGAGGATGGCTCCAGTGGCTTGTGAAATTCATTCTGGGAAACCCATGTCTTCCCAAGTCCTACTTCCTGTGAGCATGGGAGAAAAAGATGTTCACTTTTCTTTTAGCAATCATGTGATATAAAATTAGCCTAGTCCCTTTTTTAACATTTAATTTGATTTTATTTTATTGAGAAACAAATAGCAAGGAGAGGGCCAGGGAGATGGCTCAGTAGGATAAGCGCTTGACTGGCAAACGCAAGGATCTGAGTTCAATCCCCGGTTCCGCAAAAAAAGAAAAAAAGAAAAAAAATAGCAAGGAGACAGTTTCAAAACTGATTAATAGGACAGTTTCAACAATGAATACATTGTACATTGTTATCTTCTTAGTAGTTATCTATAGTACAAGATGCAGACAGGATATCCTGTCCAAACACTATTGGTACAAATCTTTCTTCTCATTGAATTAGGCGAAAGTAGCTGTATGTCTATCCTAACTATTCTGTGTATACAGATACAAAATGGTCCTTCCTTTGTATCCCCTTTTTTTGTTTAGTCCTGTCAGAGATGGGTGGGTATTCCATTGGCATCTAAATACTATAGGTGCGTGAATTCAGCAAGACAATGAAACTATGGAACGCTTCACGAATTTGCGTGTCATCCCTGTGCAGGGGCCGTGCTAATCTTCTCTGTATCGTTCCAGTTTCAGTATTTGTGCTGCTGAAGCCAGCACAGCCTAGTCCCTTTGACAATAAATTCACTCTAGGTTTTCTGATTACAAAGAATTCTTATGTATAAAATAATGAAGCACTTAGAAACAGGAATGAATCTAAGCAATTGGCAAAGTTTCATTCATTTCATCCCCTCCGTAGCCCCAAGCAGTTTTGTTGTTGTTGTTTTTTTTCTTTCCTCGCAGAACTGGGGATTGAACTCAGACCCTCGAGCTTGCCAGGGAAGCGCTTTCAAGCTGTTGATACTATTTTATTCCAGTCACTAAGGTTAAGCCACTGGCCCAAAGTCACATCCTAAGTGCTAGAGCCAGAAGTAAGCTCCAGACCCCCATGACCTCGGCTTCTCACTTTACTCATGTACCCCCTGTAGAGGAACTCAGGACTATGTCGGTGAACGTCCCCTTATTGCAGTGGATTTTGCTCTCTGTGGGAAGTGTGGACAGCAGAGGGCCAGTCTCACTCTCCCTTCTGACCCTCCTAGGGCTGCCAGCGGATTGTGGAGGATTGGCAGAAAATCCTGATGGTGCGGTCCCTTGTAGTCAGTCCTCATGAGGACATGAGGACCTGGCTCAAGTATGCAAGCCTGTGTGGCAAGAGTGGCAGGCTGGTGAGTAGTAGAGTGACCCCACCACGTGGCAGGAACTGCCCCTGGTCCAGCGCTGTTCATAACCTGACCACTCTTGTTTTTAAGGCTCTGGCTCACAAAACTTTGGTTTTGCTCCTGGGTGTTGATCCATCTCGGCAACTTGACCATCCTCTGCCCACAGTTCACCCTCAGGTGACCTATGCCTACATGAAAAATATGTGGAAGAGCGCACGCAAGGTCTGTACCCCTGTCTGTCCCACAGAGACTCCCTTTCCAGAGTGCTTTCCTAACCTGCTTCCATGGCAAGAGAGGAAGATGGTCTCCAAACCATCTGTCCACCATGTTGGGGCAGTTGGTGGAGGAAAGGCCCGTACACCCATGATCAAGCCAGTGAGCATGGCTGCTGCTAGATACTGGTTTCTAGAAAGTGTTGGAATCTGAAGTCTCAGTTACCCCTTAAAACAGATTGTTACAAAAGTAACATACACAGTGAGGCATGGTTTGCAATTCTGTAATCTCAGGACTCTGATAAATTGAGCCTGAAGAATCTCAGGTTCAAGCCCAGCCTGGGGAACTTGGTGAGATTTTTGTCTCAAAATTAAAAATATGTGGTGAGGGGCTGGGGAGATAGCTCAGTAGATTAAGTGCCTGCCTGGCAAGTGCAGGCTCCTGAGTTCAATCCCCGGTACTGCAAAAATAATGAATGAATTAATTAATTAATTAAAATGAAAATAGACGGGGCTAGGAATGTAGCTCAGTGGGAAGGTGAGAAGGGCTTGCCTGTATCCCTAGTGCTGCCCAAAAATAAAAAATACAAAGGAACACTTGTGAAAATAGAGTAGAGCTTTTGCAAGAGCAATGTGGTATTCTCAGACATCAGGTCTCTTTTCCTATCAACAGTTTGGGTTCAAAAGCAACAATACCACGCAGGAAGCAACAAGGAGGGAAAGTTACCCTGTCAACAGTGTAGAATTCCTCTTTATTTATAAACAAGCTCTTGAGAAGCAGAGGTGCTGGTTTCGGCTTCGGTTTTTAAACCGTCTCTCTGGATGCTGGTGGCAATTATCAGAAAGTAGGCACTGGAGGCAGTCACATGTATTTGGCTCCCCATCACTTGAGTCCCAGTGCTAGCTGTGGTCCCCACAGTGGTACCCAAGCTGGAAGAGTGAGAAGCAGGCGCTGTCCTCGGGAGGCTGAGGCAAGGGTCACACATTCAAAGCCAGCCTGAGCAATTTAGTAAGACCCTCTTTCAAAAAAAGTTTTTAAAGGGCTAGGGGTATAGTTCAGTGATCCTTTTACCAGAGAGAAAAAAAATGAATGAAAAAAGAAGCAGGAAAAAAAAAAGCAACATTGGAGAAGAAGTTCTGTCTGGGAGGGCATGCTTGGAAATCTTGGACAGGGTCTAGAGACTTGTTTTTTTGGTGGTTGACACAGAGTGGCTTTCAGTACCACCCAAAGTGGATCAACAACCCGGCACCTGGCGCCTGGTCTATGGCTGGGATTTACCTCATTATTAATGACCCAGGCACAGTTCAGGGATTTTGTTTATTTTTATTGTGTTGTTTTTCAGTCCCTGTGAGCTCTCAGGCCATGGTATTTCTGGGTCAAAGCCCAGCTGTCTCCAGACAAATGAGAAAAGCAGAAGGTGCCGGGTCCCAGTGTCACCCAGTGTCCTTCTGTGCACAGCCTTCAGAAGGAACCTTGTGGGTGGTCTCTCAGCCCAAGACCACAGCCCAGCTTCTCCACAGATGATGCCCTTTCCTTAGGAGCCCAAGTACTGGGGACTGAAGAATTCGGGAACCTATTTAAAGTCAGGTGCTTGGACCTCAACCCAGAGCTAGAGGTGTCACATCTTTGCTTGGGAGCTTCTTGGAGAAAATGCCGTACTAGTCATGCGGCTGAGCAGTCACTATCTCAGCCATCTTCTCCTGCACTGTCAGCAGGGGCTGTGTTCCCTGTCTCATCTGAGACAAATGAAAGTGGGGAAAAGCAGAGCCCATCCTGCAGGAAGGCTTCAGCCCTAGGTGTTCTTGTGGTCTCGTCATGGGTGAGACGCCATGGAATCCAGAGGCAAGCAGTCCTTCTGTGAGGTCTCACTGGCAGGACGGTCATCACTGCCCGTACTACGCAGGCACAGTATTCACAACCAGAGCTCTATGGGCCTGAACAGAGGTCCTTTTCTCCAGGGGATGGGTCCTTCATTGGCAAGAAGGAGAGAATCATTCCCACTCGCTGGGGACGGAGGAAGTTTTGTTTTTTGGGGTTTTTTTTTTTGGCAGAACCAGGGATTGAACTCAGGCCCTTGCACTAGCCAGGGAAGCACTTGTTCCACTGAGCCATCTCCCTGGACCTTTACTACTATATATTAAGAAAATGTGGGGTTTCTCAGATAATTTTAACCACTTTTTTCAGTATTTTCTTGCTGATGAAACATCATCCCTGACACCCAAATTTTTAAATTTTTTTTTTGTTTTTTGGGGGGTTTTTGGTGGAACCGGGGATTGAACTCAGGTCCTTGCGCTTGCCAGGGAAGCGCTTATGCCACTGAGCCATCTCCCCGGGCCCAAGAAAGTTTTAAATAGAATATTTTCAATTCCTTGAAAATGAGTTGCCTCATGCTATAGAGTAAAAAGATACTAAGTTCTTCCATGTGGGACAAATAATGTTGGTCTTCACACTCAACAGGAATACCTAGCCACCCCATTCTTGCAGTTATTTTTTGTTAAACCCCTTGTTGAGTTTTACCTCGGGCTGGATTGCCTCTGGGACAGCACATGGGCTTGAGAGCAGCTGGCATCCGAGTTCCAGGTTTCTGGCTGCTTGTCGATCACTCGAGTTACAGTCCCCTTTTGGGTAACTTGCCTTTTTTGTATTACCTCCCTTTTTAAAATCAGATTTAAGTGTAGCTGAAGTATTCTCCTGGAGGGAGACCTGAGGGGGCATGGGACATTTCCCAGTCAGGGGTGCTGATGTCATTTCATTTATCAGAGCTGGGGGGAGCCCTGTGAGAGCAGATGCCTATGGGAGCCAAGAGTCGTGTTCCCGCGGGCCGCTGCACATTTGCCCCATCCTCACACATGGATTAGAGTTTGTTGTGCTACCCCAGCTCTGAGTCAAACCTTTCTTTCTTTCTTTCTTTCTTTCTTTCTTTCTTTCTTTCTTTCTTTCTTTCTTTCTTTCTTTTTTAAAAAACCTTTTTCTTGGTATCAGTTAATTCCATACATTTAAAAATATCTCATACCAGGCATGGTGGCACACACCTGTAATCCTGTCACTCAGGAGACTGAGGCAGGTGGATTTCAAGTTTCGGACCAGCCTGAGTGGCTTAAATTGTGTCTAAATATCAAAAAGTATGGGGGCCTGCCCCTTAGCTAAGTTCTTTGGGGCTGGGGAGATAGCTTAGTAGAATAAGTGCTTGCCTGGAAAGAGCAAGGGCCTGAGTTCAATCCCTGGTTCTGCAAAAGAAAAAAAGAATATCAAAAAGTAAAAAGAAAGAAAAGTGTCTGAGGTTGGTCCAGGTCTCTAAGTGAGGGAGTTTCACTTTCCTTTAGGATCATCACCACTTTACATCGTGTTTCTATTTAAAAAACAAAAACAAAAGTCCTATATAATTTACCAGAAGGAGACCTGTTAAATATTTCAGACATTGATTTTGGTTTTTTTTTCTTCTGCAGCAGAGACTACATAGCCTTTGGTTCATATTTTCTTACAAATGATTCCCTTCTTTGTGTTAGAAGATTTAGATTGTGCCTTTTTCCATTTGAGCTTTAGGTGCTTGCTTGTATACAGTGTCCATCCTGAAAAATCCTCCAAAAAGCTGTGCGGACACTGAGTTTCAAGATGCTGGCTTGTTTGGACACAGCAGGCTTGCTCGGGCCCTCCCTCTGCGACTCGGTGCTGTTCTTTCTGAGTGTGGCCCCCTGTGCCTAACACACATGCGCTCTGCTCACTTTGTATCAAATCACAGAGTCATTGATCTAGCTGCTGGGGGTGCTCTGGAGATTTCACTTCTAAGCTTATTCGTCACTCTGCCACTGAGCTCATCCCCAGCCAGTATTGTTGTTAGGGTGTTTTGTTTTGTTTTTTGTTTTTTTGGAGGGGCTTGTTTTGTTTGAGATAGGGTCTCACTGAGTTGTGCAAGCTGGGCGCAAACTTACTATCTTCCTGCCTCAGCCTCTCGTAGCTGGGATGACAGGTGTATGGCACCACAACCAACTATCTGATTTTATTTTTTTTTTTAATTTTTTATTTATTTGTGCGTGCGTGCGTGTGTGTGTGTGTGTGTGTGTGTGGCCAGCTCAGCCCACCAGGGGGCAGGGCTGGCTGGCGTGTGGTGCTGGGGGATTGAACCGCTGTCCCTGTACTTTGCTAAGCTTGTTCTAAGTAGGTGCTTTAGACCACTGAGCCATCTCACCAGCCCAACTATCTGATTTTAAATGAATAGTTTTTGCTATGCTGGAATGCCCCGGGTATTGTCATGTTGCAGACAAATACTAAAGCTTTACTAGTCTGAAGTAATTCCCCACAGCCCTAACTTCCTGCGAGCAGTATACAGACAATAAAATAAGCACTTCTTCACATTGCTTCATGTGAATCATGTCAGGTAGTCAGGCATGTGACTTGCAAGACTTAACTAGACTGGCAATCACAGTTAGCAAAAGAAAACTGCAACGTGAGTGGAATAACCCATGGATTCCCAGAGGACGGAGCTTCCCTCTCCTAGGAGTCCCTCCCTATTCCAGGGGGTTCTACTGGGAGACCTGACTCATGCCTATGAGTTGGGTCATGCAAGTGGGTCTCTGCCTCTGCTACAGATTGATGCTTTCCAGCACATGCAGCACTTTGTCCAGACGGTGCAGCAGCAGGCCCAGCACGCCGTGGCCACCGAGGATCAGCAGCACAAGCAAGAGCTGCACAAGCTCATGGCCCGGTGAGGTCCACCAGCTCCATGAGGAAACCCAGGGTGCTAGGCCAGGGTTGGGGTGTGGGGGAGGGTAGTTTGTCATTCCTTGCCTTCTCCCAGGCATCAAGCCATCTGCTCCTCCATTACTGCCCCTGGGCTTCCCAGGGGCCAGCAGCTCAGCACCACCTCAGTGCTGTCCTCCTCCTGGTGTCTGGTTCGGGGTTAGACTCATTTTCCAGTGTTATATATACTGCTGATTTGATGCATAAATAGTTTTGATTTAGACAAGTTCATCACTCTTTGTAGCTCAGTTTCCTCATCACATACAAGGTGGTATAAGATAGCATGAAGCTCACGAGCATCGGGCGTTCACAGCAGCGCCTGGAATACAGCGGCAGTCAGGGGCCATTGGCTGTTAATACTATCCCTGTCGACGGGTGGAGGGGAGAAGAGAAAGGGAGGGGCCAGACAGCATTCAGTGAGAAAAATAACAAATCTCCCTAAGAAAACTGCATTTGAGCTAAGGAGGTCCACGAAGACCTTCCTATACCAGTTCCTGGTTTGTAATATCATTGGCACGCGGGTCCAAAAGGTCGTTGATGATGCCTTAAGAATGTTTCCCCAAAGCCTGTCTTCCTTCCCCATGGCTCAGCATCTTGCTGGTTCGGTTTCACTCCCCAGACCTAGACATGCACAGTTTACCGCAGGATGGCCCTTTGGGGAAGGAGGAGCAGCAAGGGCTTTGTCTGTCTTCTCAGGTGTTTCCTGAAGCTTGGGGAGTGGCAGCTAAATCTCCAGGGCATCAACGAGAGCACTATCCCCAAAGTGCTGCAGTACTACAGTGCCGCCACCGAGCACGACCGCAGCTGGTACAAGGTGAGGCAGGCGGACAGCGGCACCGCTCTCCTGCGTGCCCAGCCCAACTCGACCCTTCTGGTGCTGTGGCTGCTCCTGCAGTGTCTGGAGCCTTCATTTTTCCTTATAGTTTCACAACTGTGACAAGATTGACTCTTTCATTGGAGAAATACTTACTGCACCGTGATTCTGTGGTGCTGCAGTGGCTGCTGCTGTTTATAGCCTCTGTGCTGCTTGTTTTCCTCAAGCATCGGGACACAGGGTTAATCTCAGAACTCCACCTTCCCTTGGGTCGTTGGTGTCTTCCCCTTCTTTCAGATTTCCATCCCTGGTGTATCCTCAGCTCAGAAATTAACTTTGTTTTTACTGGAAAGATCTGGGTAACATCCTGTTATAGTATAGTACAGGAAACTTTTCAAACAGAAAACGTACAAAAGGCGGGCCTGGCTGGCAGGGGTGACTGTTACACGTGTGCATCATTGCAGAGAGCACACGTCCTCGTCGGGTTGTGTCTCTGCTGAGGGACATCCCGGTAGCAGCAGCTTGGTATAGCAGTCATCATTGATTGCTTTCCAGAATCTCCTTAACTTGCTTATACATTGTGAATTACCCCTCTAGGATCAAACTTGCATCTGAAAACCACACTAACATTTACAGTAAAATCTTACCCTCATTTCAGCGTGCTTTGTGATCATCTTAACACTCATTTTGTGACAAGAGAAGAATCAGAAACTGTTCCATGTCCAAAATTGGAAAAACCCGATTAGCAGGCACCTTACTAATCGAACTGTCTCCTAGCCAGAGTTACTTTTCTTCATTTAGCTTTTGTAAAAGCAGTAGACCACAAGAAAAAAGTCTGTTTTCAGCAACTTCTGCTTTAGTTGTTAAAAGTATTTCCTAGTGTCGATCCCTTTGGTTTGACGATGTCTTTGCTGTGAAGCTCGCAGCACTGAGGCTCTGCGATCTCTTGTTCTCCCCGATCCCGGCTCAGTGCAGCACTTAGTACCTGTGCAGGAGGCGCTCACTGAGTAAGTGAGGGTAGGGGACATTGAACTGGGTCGTTGCAGAGTGCTTACTCATCCAGTAAAGACCAATTATGATCAGTCTGGGGCTGGGGAGATGGCTCAGTAGAACAAGTGCTTCCCTGGCAAGCGCAAGGGTCTGAGTTCAAGCCCCGGTTCCGCAAAAAAAAAAAATTATGATCAGTCTGTTCTGCTAAGATGGGAAGGTGGACATTGGACACATTTATGCTGAAGGTCTTTAGCAAGGCGTCAAGGGAATTTCCTAGTTACCCAGAAAGCCAACTACTAGAGGATTATCTGATGTCCTGTTCTCAGTACATAGTTATCATGCCTCCAAGCAAACTCAGCAGTGTGTGATAGAGTCACCACAACTCAAAACTCAGAGATGTGGACAGTGCGCCCTTGTCCAGATAGGCTCCAGGCAGGCCTTCCCCCATTGAGCAGCTGGGAGAACCATCGATTGCTGGTCCTCTGCCAAGCCACAGGCTCATCCTCTCTCACTGCCCTGTGCTCTCTCTGGCTTCTGTCACCCACTCTCATGTGACCTGGTAGGACTTGTCATCCCTCTGCTGACACTCTGTGTCAGCCAGCTGCTTGTCCCCAACCTCTGCCTAGTTAAATAATCTGTATCATATGCTTGGAAACTCAGGAAGGCTGTTTTCCTACAGATAAAATGAGACCTCCTGGCCCAGCATGCCTTCTCCTGATATTGTCCCCAGCTCTGTGCTGTTCGTTCCCCACTCCACTCTTGCATGTGCCCCAACTTTTGCAGGTTTATCCTGGATGCTCAATGCTTTCCATCCTGTATCTCTTCCTGTTCTTCCCCTTGCTGAGGAGTCTTCCTCTGCTGACCGCAGAGCAGGACCAGGCCCAGCCCTCCCTCAGCACAGCCTCGCCTCCCCCCACAGTGCTGTGGTCCCAGCCCTGGTGTCTGCCCTTGGCTGTCTCCCTCCCAGGCCTGGCATGCATGGGCGGTGATGAACTTTGAAGCCGTGCTCCATTACAAACATCAAAACCAAGCCCGTGATGAGAAGAAGAAACTGCGTCATGCCAGTGGAGCCAACATCACCAATGCCACCACTGCTGCCACCACAGCTGCCACTGCCACTGCCAGCACAGAGGGCAGCAACAGTGAGAGCGAGGCTGAGAGCACAGAGAACAGCCCCACCCCATCACCTCTGCAGAAGAAGGTCACTGAGGTACTTGCTTCTGCCACAGTAGGAACTGGCAAGCGCATCTCTGGCAGTGAGTAGTGGTGACACTAGAGGCCTGAGGTTTTCTCTGCAGTGACAATACCATACCATTTGCCACTTCGGGGTGCAGGGTGCAGAGCTGGTACCCCTGTGAGTGTGTGTCTGGGGAGCTGCCAGCTGGCCACACTAAGAGGTTCCTCTCTTTCCCACTGGATGAATGCATTCTCCGTATGGGTGTTACCAGGCTGCAGGCAGCCCCCACCTCTGCCAGTCCACTCTCAGGCAGAGGCCTGGCAGCTCTGTGCCCTGCATTCTTCCCTTCCCTTCTTGCTCCCCCATTAGCCTACAGTGCACAGTGCACCTAGGAAGCAGTGGCCAAGAAGGCGGCCACTTCCTCCTGCCACCCTTCCAGGAAGCACCTCTCACCCCAAGACAATGACAGTATGACTCAGTTGCCATTTATTCAGTGCTTTTAGTACATAACTGGTTTAACATTCAAAACTGCCCTTTAGATCTGGGCATGGCGGCACGCACCTGTAATCTCAGCCTGGGCGGCTGAGGCGGGCCTGTGAGTCAAAGGCCTGACTACATAGTAAGATGCTGTCTCAAAGAAAGGGGAAAAAAAAATCCTGCCCTTTGAAGTAGGTACTCTTAGTATGTAATTGTGCCCATTTCACGTTTCAGGAATGAGAACGGTGAGGCGAAGGCCTAGGGGCTGTAGCTCCCTTTCCTACACTTGCCTAGCATGCATAAGGTTCTTGGCTCAATCTCCACAAAAAATGAAATAGAAGAAGAAAGATAAAGCTGAGCAAGAATATCAACTAGCACCTTTGTTCCAATAGGACTTATCCAAAACGCTCTTGCTCTACACGGTCCCTGCTGTCCAAGGCTTCTTCCGTTCTATCTCCTTGTCACGCGGCAACAACCTCCAGGATACACTCAGGTATGAAGAAGGGGAAGATGAAACACACACGGGTCTCTTTCCTTTCTCCGCCCCATCAGTACAGCTCAGCTCAGGGCCCAGGCCTTTCTCGGCCTGCGCTTGGGGAGTGATTGCTGACCAGACGCCCACACACCGAGGGGAGACCCACACATAAGGAGAAGCCTGAACTCCCGTGTGTGATTTATCTTGTAGGGTACAGTGACCATCTGTCTCACAACATGTCTTAAGTCCCCCTGCAAGTTGGAGAGGGCTGACTAGCACAGGCCCCCTATCGAGAGGCTGCCGGTGGCCAGGGCAACCCCTCCTTTATACAAGGTCTCTGACCAGCTCTGTTTCACACTGCCCTGTTGCCCCTGCTCTGCAAGCGACCCACTCATGGATGCAGATTGGTGTGTTCTTAGGTGACGGTGGCTTGACTGGACTGGGAAGAAGCACTCATTCATTTGGGGCGATCCTCATGGATTAGTCAGGAGCTCTGCCCCATGTGACAGCTGCTGTTTCTCTTCTCCAGAGCCTTAAAGATGAAAACATAACAAAAGCTAGGAAACTAAATTTCTGTGACTTTCTCTTTGTCTTTTTCCAGAGTCCTTACCTTATGGTTTGATTATGGCCACTGGCCAGATGTCAATGAAGCCTTAGTGGAGGGGGTTAAAGCCATCCAGATTGATACTTGGTTACAGGTGAGACCAGGTTCCAGTGGGGATGAATCCAATTCTTGCCCCTCCATGTGTCCCTTGGGAATCACGCTGTGGGCAGCACCCCAGAGCAGTGTGTGATGTACAGTGGTAAGGAGGCAGAGCTTGAGCCCAAGGCCTATACTCCATGTTCTCTTTACTTCCTTTGGAGAG